AATATTTCCTTCAAGGAGTTTCATTGTGATGACACCTTACTTCGCTGATGTGCACAATGTTCGACGAATGCAATGTTGTCCAATCGGAAATGATTGAGTGATTTCCTAATTCACTCACACTTCTTTTAATGATTGGTTATACATGATGTTACATCCTCCTTTATTCAGTGGTGAGAACTTCTCTAATGCCTGTGTTTTTTACGTTTGACTGCATCACATCCTTTTGACAAAATCAATGACAATATTGCTTCGTCAAATTGTAAAACATTCGAAGTTTGGTGTGAAGAACTAAGTCTCAAGGTTCGTGGTCTATTGAAGTTCACGGCCTTCAAGGAGCGCATGAAGGCCCAGTACCCTGGATGGGTCGTGGACGTGGGGTTGATTGCGGTTACGTTTGTACAAGAATATTTAACCTCTATGAGTTGCCTCGGGCATCGGAGGATGCTGAGATCATCGCGATGCCAGACATGAGTTTCCATGCGTTCATGGCGTCCCTCCGCGCTAAGGAAATCGCCTGTATTGCGATCCTTACGATTGAAGACGAGTTGGACGTCCTTTCGACCTTGACGGTGGATGAGCCTGTTCTGCCGTCCCCTGTGAAATCCCAGACGTGGGATTTCCTACGGTCCAACCCCTACTACGACCTCCTTCGTGAGTACGAGGACGTCTTCCTCAACGAAGTACCCTGCAGCCTGCCCGTCGACAAAGGCGTGCGGCACGAGATTGATTTGGTTCGGGGAACCAAGTGCTGTGTTACGCAGCAGTGGCTGCTCCCTCGCGAACAAGTCGAAGCAATCGACTCGTTCTTTGCGGCGCGCAAGAGCGTCGGACATGTCCGCGAGAGCACATCGCCACACAGCAGCCCGACCTTCTGTGTGTAGAAACCAATGGCAAGTGGCGTATTTTACACGCCTTGTACAAACTGAATGCCGCAGCGATCCCTGCGTAGGCGCCGATTCCTCGCAAGGATATGATTGTCGGAAGCTTGAGCGGGTCGACGATTTTTTCAACCATCGACCTGCGTGATGGTTTCTACCAAGTCTTGATGCGCGAGAGCGACATCCAGAAGACCACTGTCTCCACTCCCAGTGGCATGCTCTGGGAATGGCTTGTGATGCCACATGGCCTCTCCAACGCCCCTGCGACGATCAATCGCATGGTCACGAACAAGTTTGGAGTGATACACTCCTTCGCTCCCTCCTACTTCGACGACATCTACATTCACAGTCGCGGCACCGGGACTGCCCCGATCGTGACGTCCATCGACGCCACCTACGCGCTGTGCTTGGCGTCCTCCGCGCAAATGGCTTGTACGCCAACCTTTCAAAGTGTCTCTTCGGCGTCGACGAGATCCCTGTTCTTGGTGACCTCGTCGGCATTCGTGGTTGTCGGGCGGACACGACAAAGTCAAGACTATCGTGGACTGGCCGACTCCATATTGTGTCAACGAACTGCGTCGTTAGCTTGGCTTTGCCGCTTACCTGCACAAATACTCGGCCAACTCTGCCGACATCGCCCAGCCACTCTATCGTTTGCTCGTGAAGGACGCACCTTGGGTGTGGGAGGAGTCCTGTGAAGTAGTCTTCACAGCACTGAAGTCGAGCTTGCAAAGCGCCCCGATTTTGGCGCTGCCCGACTTCGATCGCCCCTTCACCGTCATTTGCGATGTCCAAGTTCGCAATTAGTTGCTGCCTGATTCTGCCGGACAATGACGGACACTTCAGTCTTGTTTCGTACCAAAGCCGCCAACTCTATGCGGCTGAATGGTCGTACCCTGTTCACGACCTCGAACTGTTGTATCGATGAAGTTAGCCCTCATGAAGTTTCGAGTCCACCTGCAAGGCTCGAAACCCTTCATCATTTTCACTGACCGTGCGTCGTAGCGCACAACCGTCAACTCACCGCACTTGCCGAGTTCAACTTCACGGTCCAGTACAAGCCCGGCAAAGAAAACATGCTCGCGGGCGCCCTCTCAAGGCGTCCGGATTTGGAAACACCGATGAACCTAGCCGCAGTCGGACTGACTCCGACCTCCACGATCGCATCCGTTCTTTGTGCGCCTTTGACAAAGCATGCTCGTCCATCTTGTCGGCCCTCACTGCGCCGGAACCGTCGAAACCGCACCGTTCTTTGCCTTTGGCCTCGCGGTATACCGTCGACAACGGTTTGATCATAATCAAGTCTACGCCGGTTCAATCCCGCGTATCGTCGTTCCTGCTGACGCGCAGATGCGCACGAATTTGTTGCGCACCTACTTGCTCTCCCTTTGGCTGCGACAAGATGTTCGCGGCTCTGTCTCGTTCATACTGGTGGCCTCGAAAGTACATGGCCGTCGCACGATACGTCGCAAACTGTGATGCGTGCCAACGCACCAAGACTATGACGCCATCAAGGGCCCCGCTGCATCCCTTGCCCATTCCCGTTGAATTGTGGTCGTCGGTGAGCATGGATTTCATGTTTGGGCTGCCGCGCGACGCCCGCGGCAACACCGGCATCGTGGTTTGTGTCAACCGCGCGTCCAAGTATGTGGTCGCGGTGCCCGCGAAGGACACCATCAGCGGCACTGATGCCGCTCGTCTCTTCATTGACCACGTCTGTTGTCGTTTTGGCCTGCCGCGGTCCATCGTTTCCGACCGCGACCCTCGTTTCACGTCGAAGTTCTGATCGACGCTTTACTTTCTTTGCGACGTCCACCTCGCAATGTCAACCTCCGACCACCCTGAGTCGGACGGTCAGACTGAACGCGCAACCGCGTTCTCGAAGACATCCTTCGAACGTACTCTGTCGCATCGTCCACGACGTGGAGCACCCTGCTTCCCCACGTTGTGTTTGCCTATAACGCCTCGGTTCAGGCGTCCACGGGCTTCTAGCCTCTCTACGCAGTTCACACGCAGCATCCTCGGCTGCCTCAACTCCTCGGTGGCTCTCCTCTAAGTTTGGGAGGAGACACTGTCACCAGCGTCAAGCACTCCATCGACGCTGCCGCCGTCCGCGACCATCCCCCAGTGCGGACGACGCAAGACAACAAGTCCTTTTTGGTCCATCGCACCTCGGTGTTGTGACAAATTCAAGACAACTTGATCGCCGCCCAGTCCAAGCAAGCGGACCAAGCAAATGCACGCGGTCGCTCCAACCTAGCGACCTTCGAAATCGGCGATCAAGTGCTGCTGCATAAGTCCACCGTGCCCTCCCATGCGTTACGCGAACGCAATGGCAATCTAAGCGCCAACCCAAAGGTGCGTGGCGCTTGGGTCGGACCCTTTGCCGTCGAACAAGTCGTGAGTCCAACGAACTACTCACTCAACCTACCCGACGACTGGCACGTACACAAGGCATTTTACGTGGAAAAACTCAACGTGTATTTATTTCCAAACACCTCTTCTACCAACGACGATGCAACGATGGAAGCTGCTCGCTCGCGTCCCGCGGCTCCTCTTCTTCATCGTCCTCCTCTTGGCCGACGAATTTCGGCAATGACGCTGGAGCGGGATGGTACACCGCATAGGGATCCTCCTGCACTTAAAGTACCGCGCCGCCTTCCAATATGCATGCAGACGACCGTCAGTATTACCACTCGCGGTCTTCAACCGCCGCGTATGAACCAAACCGCTTGCCGACGTTCGGTGGACGCAGTCAGGTCGTCGATTTGCCCTGCGTGACGGCGCAACTACAAGATGGATATCAGACGATGAAGCGAAGACGATCTTACCTCATGATTGCACCGCCATGCTACGCGCGACGCGATCCGTGCGACAACGGCGCCTTCAAGACGATGATACTTCGTGTGCCGGTTTATCGCGAAGTTAGTCAGGGCATGGCCAACTCCGATGTCGCCGTCGGCCACTTCCAGTGCCGACCACCCCGTCCTCGTCCCAGAAACGCGGAAACGAAACTGCTGATGTACTCCAACATCGTTTCGTCTCCTCGTCGCGCAGTCAACCCCACGTCCACGACCCATCCAGGGTACTGGGCCTTCATGCGCTCCTTGAAGGCCGTGAACTTCAATGGGTGCGCCCCCGCCACCCAATGGTGCTCGAGGGCGTACACCATCCCGATGTGCCATTCCAAGTCGTCATGGCCGCCGCTCCGAAACATCTTCAAGTGCGCCCCCACGCGGCTGGCGTCCAACGGGGCGTAATCCGACATCTCGCACAGCCGTGCCATGCGCTCCATCACTCGCGCCGCGTCAGCGCGAGTCACCCCAGCAAACGTCCGCGCTGACGACAACCACAAGTCAGGCCGCGCCGTCCACATCAAATCACGTTCGGCGATCGGACATCGCCCAAAGACCTGCGTCGGCGTCATGGGTACGCTCGGGAGCTCATCCTCCTACAATGTCAACGGCGCTTAAGAAGACATCCAAGAAACTTGGAACGCATACCTCTCCGTCTTCAACGCAGTCGACCGCCGCCTCGATTTCCGAAACGACTCTGTTGGTCGCTTCGATGGCCGCTCTTGGTTCCGCGGCCACCAGACCTGCGGCCGCCTCCGCCTGCCGCAACGCTTCCTTCGCGCTTGCACTCTCGCCGCCGCTTTGCGAGCCGCCTTCTCCAGCACTGCGGCCAACGTACGCCCGGCTACCGCCTTCTGCTCGGCTGCCTTCGCCTTGCGTTCTTGGATGAGCCGCTCCAACGCCAAGTTCCTGGGCGGCTTAGTCGACCATACTATTGCCACGAAGAGTAGGCGGGCGCAGAGGACGATGCGCTTTGCTTGGTAGAATGGAGAATGAATTGGTAGAGTTAATCTTACCTAACGCTACAACTGAGGCACGCAAATCAATCGTTGTTGGTTAGCAAGAGATAACCGAATGTTTCCGGACAGTGTAACACGGTTGCAGTTATGGCACTTCGAGAACGAACAACAAACTGTTCAATCTCTCTGTGGCTCTTGCCAACAGTACTTAGGACCAATATCCTGACTTGCTCCTCCTAGGATAGCTTGAGGCGCGCTGGCATGGTTGTTCGATGAATTCAAGCAAAAGAAAGACTGGAATCATGTAAGCTTGTTTTGACAAACGTCGGCTCTCAGTGATCGGCCGAACTCTCAGTGATCAGCCGAGCTCTATTACCCAATAGAATCGCAAGAATCTTGTGATTGGATAAAATTCGTTACTCCAACAACCAAACCCCTCATAATTTTATGGTGGGAATATACATTAGAAATCAGAGGCAACAAACAAGTGTGTCAACCTTGAAAAATGCCGCCAAGAACCCTGTACACACCCGGCGAGATTGCAGCCGCAGTGAGCGACGTGATCACCAAGCAACACACCATTCCATCCGCTGCCATAGCATATGGCATCCCTCAACGAACGTTACGCACACACGTGACAAGAGCCAAATCCGGCTCTACAACAACGACCA